TCAAGGTAGAGTGAACCAAGTATTGAACGCCGTACTGGAGAGGAGCACTTGTAGCTTAAGGCATTTATTGCTTATTTTATATCTGAAATAGATTTAATTTTTGCATTGAATTTCAGGATATCTTTTCTTGTATTTAATTTCAGAAAACCAAATTATTAGATCCACCACATATTCACATTTTGGAACAGAGAACATTTCACACGAGTCCTTAAAGAAGAAATATATTTTTCATACTGTTATGCTCATGAATTATGATTTATCGAAAAAACTAAAAATGTTGCATTTGAATGACACAACAGTATTCCACAAATGAAATTTAAAACCACTAATACGAATCTGCAGTGATTGTTAGTACCTCTGCGCATATGTATTAGAGAATTTCATTGTTTCATCAAATGAATTCTCTGATGTAATAACAGTTTTCAGTTGATGCTATTAAGGTAGCAGAATAGTTTTTTGGGCACTTTTCACATTTTTTTTTGAAAATCACACGAATAGCTCCCTAAGGCATGCTACATACATTGGTGTATTTATTTTATTGAAAAAAAAAAAATGTCTTGTACAAGTAAACTGATTTTATTCTTGTGTGCAAACAAATGGCCAAGTTTTTGTTTATCCAGTGTACACACAACTAGTGCATCTCATTAATATGCATGGTTTACAAACATAACTGAACTAAGGGTAAATAGTTTTAAGTTGGGCCACTTTCTTTATTTGCTATTTACAAACAACTGATAAGATATCTGTTTGTAGTTTACACACAGCTGGTAAGATGTGTGCACTGCTGCCTTTCTAGACAGGAAGTACAGCAAAGACAAAACAATCGCTTTTGAAACAACAAATTTTGAATAAACAAAAAAGTACATGAATGTACCACTTCAATGTAATTACCGGTATATGTTAAGGTAGCGAGAAGGTTTTGTGACGTTTTTAAATAAAACATTCTCTGTCTGTTGTCTCGTTCAGAACAGTAATTTAGGTTATATATATCAAAAGACTAAGTATAGAAGTGCAAGTTCGCACAAACTGGACAGACATTGTTTACATAATTATCACGTGACATCAAAAATGGCGAACCTTGTAAAAATGACTAAGTACGCGATTGCGAGAGCACACTGCGGAATTTCCTGGTGAAATTTAAGTTATGCATTGTCCGTAATCAGTCCATTGAAATGCGTCTCGATAATCAAAAGACTATTATTCGATTTCTATGCTGGTTTGTTTT